TATATATATATATATACTAAAACTACCTTATCCAGGGTACTTGGATGAGTGTATTTCATTTTGATCAAAGGGGGTCCCCAGGAGGCACAAGTCTTCTACTGAATTTCCCTTTGATATAAATTAAATTTATATTTGAACAAGTGAATGACTCCTATCCGAAACATAAATGCAGATGATGGTAGTCACATCGACAAGATTAAAAGGAGAAAATATGGACATCAACTTCCACAAGAATATTTGTTGCAACAATTCAACTGTCATATCAATGTTAAAATATGCTCATAATTTCATTCAATCAAGTATTGCATCAAATAAATATTAAAGTGATCAGCTCAGACTGTTTTTGCACACCCCACCACTGAAGGTTATTTCCCTTTGATTTAAATTAAATTTAAATTTGAACAAGGGAATGACCCTATCCAAAATATAGAAGGGGAAATCCAGAAGATGGAGGGCACCTCGACAAAGTCATTGAATATATTGATATGTATCATTTTTGTCAATATACATATAAGATCACTAATTAAAGATTTCTCAGTAAAAATCGTAATCTGAAAATACTCAAATAATTGTGTTAGAAAACATATTCATCAGCCACTAGAAATCATATTTCAGTTTAAAAAAATAAAACATATCGGTTCGAATAATTTTATTACTAACACTAGCCAAAGTATCCGGCGTTTCCTGGCTGAACATTTGTATAAACGCACCCACATCGTTTTTAGAGTGTGTACTTCGCAAGTGATTTCTTGTTTTTAATAATAATAAAATTCAATTGATAAAAAACTTCTTGCCTGTTTGCTGCTCAGGGTTAAATTGTTTCAATATTTTAGATATTCAGTAAATTTTCTATGGCCATAATCACTTTCAAATGGTATAGCATCTTTCACAGATTTAATAATCAAACAAAAATAGGGATGAAACGTCAAGTGCAAATGCATGAACGCCCCTCTTTCTTAGCACGTTTACTGTAAAGCTGTGGTTAAGAGATTCTTCAGGAAATGTTTCCCTTTTTTGAGAAGGTTTATTCAAACGTAAAGTTTGAATAATCCTTCTCAAAAAATGTTTCCATCAAAAGTTCTTCGAATGCCAATTTAGGACGGAATCATATGAGAAAACTATTGGCTAAATGTAAAAATCTGATTTTGAATCAAGTTTGTCGCTGACTTCGTCAAATCTAAACCAAAAATTGGCGCATGTCAATGTCTTTGTCATATGTAATTTACCTGGAAAATTTGGAAAACGTCTGATGAAAAATGAGAGAATTATGGCCGAAAAACTGTCTTTATGAAAAGGTGTTCGTGTTTTTCTGTTATACGTGGGGAAGCGAGGAGGACAAAAACCACACCGTTTTATTTCTTGCACAATGGCAATTATTTGAACATGTCTGAAGAAAATTAGATAAAAAATGAAGATATTCAAGCTTTTATTTTACCTAAGAAAAAAAGTTTTTTTTTCTATTTTTGCATGAAGACAATGTCGCAGGAAAAGTATCAAGCTTTCTACATAAAACCCGTAAGATGAGCTATGTTTGCATTACGTGCAAAGAACCTCAGCTCATACAGTAAACATTTTGTTCGCGTGTAACTTTCCTTTGGTTTTCTGCAAAAAAAGTTATGCCCACCTTCAGTTTTATTGATATTTATGCCAAACCCGGGGACAGGGAAAATGAAAAGTTGGTCTTCACCTATCTTTGTAAATTTTCAAGAAATGAGTACAATTTCATCGAAAATAGCATAAACGCACGCAGACATAAAAACACGCAGACATCTTTTCCTTCATCGATATAGATACTATGTAAAACACACGCAAACACACATACATAGACACACACGCGCACAGACACACACACACACATATATATATATAATTATTTATTTGTAATTATAACATAAATATGTTATAAAATCACTATAAAAAAGTTATTTTGTTTCCAACACCTTGGTGGTCTTATCAGATGATGATGAATGTAAATTGTCTACATTCAACATCATCACTTGATAAGACACCAAAGGTGTTGAAACAAAATGGCTACTTTTGTAGTGATTTTATAACATATTTATGTTATAATTTTTAAATAAATAATTATATTCGCTTTTACTCTGTGTTGAGCACTCATTTAAGAATAGTAATTGTTGGTAATTGGAATTTTTCCGTATACACCAATCATACACTTGTATATATATATATATATATATATATATATATATATATATATATATATATATATATATATCCGATTGCTTCATTATTCGGTGGTATATTAAGCTATAACAAACGGAGCTTTTTTACGATATGTCCTTCGCAAGTGTTTAATTATTCTTAATAAAAGAATTCTATCGTTAAAACTTTCCTGCTTGGTTTTTGCTCGGTGCTAAATTATTTCAATGTTTTCGATTGTTGAAAAATCAAATAATCAGACAAGAATAAGGATGAGGCGTCAAAGCATGATTCAATCTGCAGCTACAAACGCATGAATGTCGCCTCCTTATTCATACGTTTACTGTAAAGCTGGGATTAATAACATGCACACACACACACACAACAGACGCACACACAGAGATATCATTGATTTTATAGATATATAGATTATTAAACTAATTATCCTGTATTTCACTAAATGTATGTGATTATTATTGTTTTTTCTTTGATTTCTGTTGTATGCAATGTTTTGTATTTCTTTAATGCTTGGACTAACACGAAATCCCATTCAGTAAGTCTACCTGACAATTTGCTTATCAATTAGAGGGATCCAACTAAAAGTGAAATTATTCATGTCCTCATCTACCATATTTTCGAGGTTTCCATTTCAATATCCTTGTATTTTGTTTGACTTGTGAAGCTCTTCTAAGATAGATTAAAATCTGATGCTACTGCGATGTCAATTATTACCATTATTATTATTATTATTGTTATTATTACTATTATTATTATTGTCAATCCTTATGTAACACATGTGTTAAGCTCTGCCAATAGTTAACAAATAATGGACTATTCTGTTATTCAATGTGCTTAACGTCTATTTCATTAAAATCGAAAAAGTTTACTATTTCAAATATTTTCATTTGTACACCCTTATGGTTATTGCAATATTATATTGAAGTTATTAAGCTCAAATATTTAAAGAAGTGATAGAGGAAATTCTACCGTAATTTTATATTCGTACAACTCGTCATGAGCGTATTCAATCATTAATTTAAGAATTAAGATTTATATGAAAAAGAGAAAACCTTCCAAATTTTCACTGTATTTCTAGTTATTATTATTATTATTATTATTATTATTATTATTATTATTATTATTATTGTTATTTTCTTTGATTTCTCGTGTGTACTCATTTCTTTCCTTGTCGTGACTAGAGACATATGGTCAAAAATGGTATCATGACATTTTCCACTGAGCATTTTTGAGAGAAAACACACACTCATATTTTATATAGATAACGCCTTTGGTAATGAAGGGCTCTAATTTTGATTGTATTTCCTTAACGTGTAGTCTACCAGGAATCCCTTCAGTGAGTCTATTGAAATCTTTTTCAATCAATCCAACGGCTCCAACTACTAGTGAAATATTTGAGGTTTTAATGTGCTACATTTTTTAGATTTCTATTTCAAGGCCCTTGTATGTTAATAAGTCTTTGGAGCTCTTCAAAGGTACATTACACCATGCAGGTACATCTATATCAATATGAAGACACATTGTGACTTTTATTGCTTTGTCTCTGTATTATTATTATTAGTGGTAGTAGTATTAGTAGTAGTAGCAGCAGCAGCATTATTAAACAAATAAATGATTGCCGTAATTTCTTGAATATATTGCAACACACAAAGAACGCGATTTAACAAAAAAGAAAAAACACCGCGTTTAACAACGTTAAAATATTTAGATAATATGCCTGTCTTAAATATATATTTTAAAATTACATACAGTATAAAATTACAAGTTTTTGTATAAACGACGTTTTTTGAGAAAATACTGTTACTCCACGTATGAATTACAATGAAATGCAACAAGCTGGGATGGAATGCAACTGAAACCTGTGTAACCTGATATGAATCGTGTTCGTCTTGAAATTTACCTTTACTTGATTTATTAGTAAAATAATTCATCAAATAGTTTAGTTTACAACTTATAGAACTCTACTGTTATTTTGTTCGTCTTCCAAGTCCGGGGTGGGGCGTTGTTAGTTTGCATATATAATTATCTTTATGTGTTTTAAGGATGCAAATGTCGGTGGATGCTCGATTATAAGAATAAAAATGTACAAATAATCTTCCTTTTATTTTATCGCATATACACTAATAAGATTAATTAGTAAAGATTTTTAGCTACACATCTCAGGATTGAGAGACAAATCCGTGTGCAATAAAAGGCTGTTAAGAATATGGTTGATAAAATAAAAATATAATTCTTTCCTATTTTTGAATTAAATTCATTAATCTCTGCTGGCTTTCAAATTTGACCCATCCCACATAAATTCTTTCTTTCTATTAGTTGATAATTTTGTTCAACGTTCCCTTTCATCTTTAATTATTAACGATTTTATATTTATTTTAATTAATTAATTAATATTTTATTTATTCTAATTTTCTTATTGATTATATTTTAACGCATATTCTATTGTAACAGTTTGCATTAATGACATATTGAGGAACTAAAAATGTCTTATCAAAAAATATTGTTTATGTATGTTCATGTCATTTGGGAAATCGCGCCTGCAATATCACTAATCAAAAAACAACATTAAATATTTACATTCGTTATTATTTCATGACACTCTCTTGTGGGATGATGAACCTTAGTGAAGTTCATCTACATTTTGATCAACACATCAAAAGCAACCACCATTTAACTATAAATATAATGTTAATATTTTATATAAAACAAATATACTAAATTAGAATTAATGTTAGTAAGATTAAAAAATTAAGGTGATATAATTTTCATAGAGAAACAATACATATTAAACAAAATAAATATTTACAAATGTGGACAGTATCTTAAAGCTTGGATAAAATATGTAATAAGCATACAGAAGGAAGAGGAGTATGAGAATGAGGAGGGTGAGGTAAGGAGAACGACGACGATAATGATGAGAAATAGAGGGACACCGCACGATGATGATGATGAGAAGAAGAAGAAGAAGAAGAAGAAGAAGAAGAAGAAGAAGAAGAAGAAGAAGAAGAAGAAGGACAACGACGACGACGATGATGATGAGGCGGAGGAGGAGGAGGAATAGTAATGAAGACTACACCTATGATGATAATGATGATGAGAAGAATGACAATGATGATGATGTAAGGGAGGAGGAGGAGGAGGAGGAGAAAAAGAAGGACGGTGACGACGACGTCGACAAGGATGATGTGCAGAAATTGAACAAGAAGTAGAAGATGATGAGGAAGAAAAAAAAGAACAACAACGACGATGATGATGATGAGGAGGAGAAGGAAGAGAAAAAAAGAAAGAATACGGCGATGATGATGACGAGGAATAAAAGAAGAATGAATATATTTGATAAATTCTTGTCCGTTGCTGTGTAAGCGCTTTTGCACGTCACTTTGTCATAATTTGAATCCCTGCATTATAAATATGCCAGGGTGCATCAGGTTGATGCAAAAGTAATGTCCGATTCAAAGGTCTGTATTAAAAATGAAACATCCCATGATTATGAAAATATTTATCCGGTAAAATAACCTACTTTGCTTTCTAGAAGGTCATTACATATGTCATCAAGCTTATAAATGTCAAGCCTGTAAAATTCCTTAGGTATTGAAGTAAAATATAAATTCAAATCATCTTCAACCTTTTCTCGTGATGTCAACCTAAGACCATCCAAATGATTCTGTAGTCCCCGAAATAATTAATAATCAGAAAGAGCAAGGTCAGGAGAACATACTGGCTGAAGCAATATATCCCAACCAAGTTCTTGTAAAAGATTTTTTGTAAGCCGAGCTGTATGAGGACGAGCATTATCGTGATGGATGATGGCACCCATTCTGTTCACTAAGGAGAGCGCTTTTAGTTCAAATGTGTTTTCAAACAACGAAGTTAGCCACAGTACAGATTACCTGTAATTGTCTATTCTTTGTTAAATGCATAATTCCTTCAATATCCCACCCTAAGATAAACATGACCATCTTTGATGAAGTCCTTCTCTTGGTCGTTGAACTGATCTTCGTCTTCGACTGATCCATGATCGGCGGTGTTTAATGTAATGCTAAAGTATTCACATCTCATAACTTGTAACCAGCCTCACTAAAAATGCTACCTAAAGATGATGGGAAAGCAATGATAGCTAGGTATGTTTCTACATAATGATGCGAAAGATAGCAGGTACTATACGTGTGAGCAACGGTGATGTTTTGGGGAGGATATAAACGAGGATGGAGTTTATAATTAACATCAGGAAGAAACAGCTGAAATTTCTTGGACACGTAATGAGAAAGGAGGCCGAATAGAGGGGATAGAGCCCCAAGGGAAAGCAACGCATGACATACCTAGCAGGCTTATGCAAGTGGATGAAAGAACAGGGACAAGGGGAAGTACCAATGAAAAAAACTTATTGAGAGCTACAGGGGATAGGGTGAGTTGGACATCCATGGTCGCGTACGTCCTGTAGGGAGACGACACACAGAAATAAAGATAGCTAGCAAATCTTATCTAAGTACCTAACAACCCACAATTCCTAACAATGATTAAACTGTCGAAAGAAATTGAAAGGAAATAGAACCAAGAACCAAATATAATCTTTCATTAATTTCGATAGCCATTTAGAATTTATTATACGAAAATGTGAAAAAAAGGCAATATAATTTTTAAAAGTACTTTTAGAGAATACAAACACACGTATGTGTGTGTATGTATATATGTATGTATTTTATCACATCTACCTAAATGTTAGAAGTAAGCATTCCATTGCTATGTCCCATATGTTTTTTCATACGTTTTTCTAATTCATTTTCCAGAGTTTATGATTTACGCAATGTGAGATATAAAAAAAATTATTGTATTAATTTCTGCAGCGAATTTAAGGTTAAATCTTAGAGAAAATGCCTTTTCGAAATTAGTAACATTTAAATCGTCAACGATTCCAGATGAAAAATGAGAAAACTTCTTATCCATTCATATTTAATTCCTTAGATAACAGGGTATGTGATAATTACTATCACTAAACGTCTTATATTAATACATCTATCCTTTTCAGTTATTTTTATATTAATATCAAAGTATTTAAAACTTATTTGGGAACATGGTTATGAACACACAAATGCTCACTTACACAAGTGGATAAAAACATCAAGTTCAAATCCTCATGCAAATACAGATGCATTAAATGTATCAATATATAATTTAGGAACGGAAAAAATCCTGACCAAAAATGAATTACAAGCGCGTTTCAGTTTTTTTTTCAATTATATCTAATTTACATAAGTTAGGACGGGATAATGCATGCGTTAATCAATTTCATAGCAAGAAAATGACAGAATCCCGTTTAAAAAAATCTTTTATTATAATCATCATCTTTGAAAAACAATGCGAACGATTAATGAAATTGCAAATTGACAACAATTTATTCATTAAATTTCTAATGAATATTATCAGATATATTACCCTTTCTCTAGGAAAGATGACTTTCTTTTTGTAAAATTCTTTAAACATCGAGGAAATATGATAGATTCATGAACGATTTAATATGTAACTTATTTAGGAATTGAATCCGCGTTACTTACCTAATAAAATAAGACTCGTCGTTATCGAAATTATGAGAAGATATAAATCTACAAAACGATGGGCTACTTATCTTGGAAAAAACATGTTCTGTTTATATTTCTTAAAATATTTTGTAAACACGTGGAACATTAAACGAAAATATATTAGCGATCATTTACAAATAATATAGAATTTTTATTTTTTATAACATTAAAATATTTCAAAACATGTATTTTACTTCATATACAGTTGCGAATTTAATATATACTAGTCGGGCCGCGTTCGCATCCGAACATCGGGATCTTCATCCTCTCTTCTTATTCCCTTTCTCCCGTATGGTGACGGTGACGGAGATGGATGTGGAGGCCCAGTATACTACTGAAGAGTCGTGAGCAGGATCCACAGAGGAGTGTGGGTGTTGCACTCGAGTGGGCGAGTCGGGCCTCCTAACACCACGTCGCTGATCCTCTACATGTTGACGGTTGGACCCGAAAGAATCTCTCTTTCGCGATTGGTTAGCCTCTTGCCGCTGGCGAGTTCGCTAAACAGGGCAATACGTAGGGTTTGAGTGGGACACATTCTGGCCAGGTGATCTGATCAGCGGAGGTGATGTTGAAGGATGAAAGCTACGAAGCAGCGGAGACTTGTCCGAGAGAGGACCCCGTATTTGGCTGATGTAAGAGTTCGGCGTGTCCATTTAAATGAATTTTATTTTGAAATGTAATGTCAATCGACATCTCCAGTTGCCTTGATCTATCCAACATCCTTGTTCTCATCCTTTCCTCTATCACGCCTATCTGCTCTCGCTCCAAATCCTCTGTAACCCCTTGTGTGCTTGTGGCTTCCCGCCTTGCTTCAGGTGAAAAGCTTAAAAATACAAAAACAAAACTCTGCGCGACGGTAGAGAAGCCCATACCCTTAGTCAGAAGTGCCTCCCTCGCAGTTCAAAGGGGATTGAGACAGGCAAAATCTGGCAAACCTGGTTATATCGGGCTATCGGATGCTTGGTATATAAAGGTTCACCTTTGTTATCCCAGTCTCATTGGCGATACCCGCTTCCACAAGTTTAGTTACTGGGATCGTCTAGATATAATCTTTCTACTCAGCCTTTGGGGTTTTTGTGGGTCGGTCGCGATCAGTCTGATCATTCCACCGAGAATTTACCACTACAGAATTGAAACTTTAGACGGTTTCTCTCTTGGTGTCAGCGGGACACTCAAAACCTCTAACACATCAATGAACGACCATAAATATCTTTTACCCTGGATGACGGAGTGAACATTTCGTTACCAAACGTACAAATTTGACATATTAAAAATTAAATGACAATAAATGAATCTAAAAGTGAAAAAAAATATAATAAAAGTATGAAATTACTATTAAATATATGAAAAGATTTTTTATTATATTGTTGCTGAAAAATATTCGAAAGCTAAATAATATAGGAAGTCATTTACTACCGAACCTATACTTAAAAAAATAAAATAAAGTTACGGTTTGAAACACTTTTCTTAAAAATTCTAATATACGCCCTCGTCCTGCTGTTTCAAATTGCTCCTTCAGTATATTTAGTGTGTTTTAGATTTATAAAGCCATCTTTCCTCGTAATCTTTTCCAGAAATTTAAATTCACAGTTTATGGTCTGAAATTAAATCATGCTTCTCTCATTGTCATTCATCGTTGATCATATGTTCCGTTCTCAGTATCCATCGGTAGAACAAAACTTTATATCACAGAGTTTCTCCTTCAAATGTTGAAAAGAGAACTTCCGCCATACCCTTCTGTATATATTGTACTTCTGTCGAAACAATAAATTATTCACATTTGAACCAATTCTAGGAGAATGGCATAAGAAACACCAAATGAAAAGAGAAGAATTCATTATGTCCATGATCCATAATCGACATACTGCCATAACCCATTCATGTATCCTAAAATAGGAAGTATTTGTAGTATCCCAAGAGTAATTCACCATAAAATACGTACTGATAAATTGCAGCAAATTTAATTCAACCTGTGTAAAATACTACTAAATAAGGTAATTAAATGTACCGTTACTGGTTCATTTTATATATTTCAGTTCCTAAGAGAAACTAAAAGATTTTTAAAAATATAATGAAAAAAATAACTATAACAGACAGTTGCCTTACTGCTTAAAATAAAAGTTTTGACTGTTTAAATGCAAGGTTTCATTTAAAACGCATTCAATTTCGGCATTAAATGTAAAACAAACGAAACGAAACGATGCTGATACATATTAGGTGGATATATATATTAATGGTTATGGTTCAACACTTTCATCTTTGTTAAAAATTAAAAATTTTCCTCGATTTTAATAATTTACTTTATTTGTGAATTACCATTTATCATGATCCGATGAATATCCATATTAATATGTCACATTTTATCTTGTCTATTATTGAACTCACCACCGCTATATATTTTCTGGTTCTGATCAATTTCGATTCCACCAATTAGAAGCTGAGGTATTTGGCCGTTTCTTTAATCGATTACATTCATTCTAAAGTTAACGGACTTTCTTAAACTTCTACATAAAATTATCATGGATTAATATATCCAATACACTCGTACTATTATGAATTGATTTAAAAGACAATTATCACCCAATTACAAGAGTATAATTGCTTAATGATTGATCATTCGATGACGTAGTCTCTACTTAGTTTTAGTAGGAAACAATGTAAACAATCGATATATTATTCAAAATTCTCTTTCCATTTATACATATAGTAGAAGATGTTAACGCATGCTTTGATAATCTTGTCAACATCAATAATGCCCGTTTCAATTTTGGACATGCATAAACAAAAAAAAAGTTGGTATATTCGTGTCGTGAGTCCGAGGAGACTAACTGTTTCTCTTTCGTCCTCTGTACGAAAGAGAATTCTAAATTTAGTACCCCGTGTAATAGAGGAACACTGCTTAATCAATACATCACACCCATTCTTTTAACTAACCAACATATTAAGTTCCTCATTTTTTATAGTCACCCTTCATTTTGAAAGTCGTTCGCCGAAGAAATTTCTTGACTTTGCACTTTCTTTTAATATGTATCCCCAACATTTTCTCTACACAAAAATTCGGATAGAATAAAGATTTCTCTCTTGCTTTGTTTTGTTCTCGTTTGCCCAATTTCTGAATCATTTCCACATTTTTACTTTTGTTTATCAACACGGTAAACTTACTCAACATCAAGCGACGACACAGAACTTTTTAACAACAATATTCTGGAATATTTCTATTATGAAATAATTAATGTAACAAAGATATAATCACAATCAGTCATGTTCCATGTGTGATACAAACTTAGGCGATCATGTGTCTTTCAATACATGATCGCCTAAGCGTGTATCACATAAGCAGGTATCACATGAATGACGAGGCAGATTTTTCCCGTAGTAGGTTACCATTTCTTTCTGCGATAGACCAGTTGTCATACAAGGCTATAGAAGACGGACTGTCCTGCTATTTACCTATAGCTGGGGGAGAAGAATATTCATACCTTTCCCAAGGGTATTAGCACGTAAGTGAATGTAATGGATTTGACTGGAAATCGAACTCGGCTCTCCGATTTTTCAATCCGAGCCTCTAACCTTTACTTCAATAATAATCATCATACATGATCACAATAGATTAATGTACTACATATTGGTGTGCCGCCTTTGGTCTCTGATTTTCGTTCACCAAATGAATAATTTTGAGCATGTTACCTTCAATATACCAATCTGACGTTTCCCATAGTTTTACTGATAATGCTTTTCAAATATGTTAAGCAATTGTCATCAAAACAGGAAGAATGGTATCGGTAAGAGAAGTTCAAATTCCGATCTAGTCTGTTGCGTATAATTTTGCCAAAAATAATTTGGCTTACGGTCAGATCCTGTTGAAACATCGGTTCGCGTACGATCGCCGAAGTCGAGCCAGGTCAGTACCTAGGATGGTGATCGCTAGTGAATACCATGTGTTTCAATTCTCTTTGAAATCACTTACGTGCAAATACACCTGGGAAAGTTGAGACCACCGCTTCTCCCAGCAGCTATAGGTTAATTAGTAATAATCCTCTCACTAAACAATTATTATCTAAAAAAAACATCTTTCAATCTAAAAATATTTTCTGGATTTAAAGAACTACAAGGGGGTGACAATCCGAAGAAAATGAATTAACCAATCTTAAAACAGGATCCGTGGATAATGCAGAAATCCATTTCAACCACTTTTTTTTATAGCTACGGTTTAAATAGCAGTTGCAATAGGCTTGGAAGATAAGAAGTCTTGGAGAAGGATATCCCTCAATCCAAAACAGTAGAGAAGACAATAACAAACCTCGTTATTTTCTTTCTAAATGACAGTTCTCAAATAGTAAATAGAAAGTAATCTGTGGAAAGTCATGTCTCCCCTATAACTTGACAGGAGATTACATTTAAGTACATAAATAAATTTAAAGGATTAAGAATATTCTAGGCTGGATCCTCTTGCAAGTATCTCACCCAAGCAGTAAACATCAGATTAATTTTAGGCCAATAATTTTTCAGACATTGTAGTTCATACAAATATATATTTGTAATCATTTCACCACAAGCAATGAAATAATTCCACAAAGACGCAACGAGCTACTGGGAGAGAAAGAGTATGAAAAAAAACTTTAGAAAGAAACGGAAACCCAAATCTTAACAGGATAACAAGGGATAAACATCTACCTCTTTATCTATTTCTGTTTCTTTAATCTTTCCTTTTGAAACTTAATATCAATATATATTTTGTTCATAATCATATTCATGCAAACAATCAATAGGATAAGTCGGAATATGATCCCCTTGATTGACTATCAAATAATATACAACTGAGTGTTTTTAGTGCTGGACAAATTAATTGCATAGCAATCGGCATGGGATAAGTGACTTACTGCCCTTTCAGTTGCAACTCTTTCTTTTGTTAAAATGAAACATTTTATTTCCTGATTATCTTGACGGGGTCTCCACGGGGTATTCACTGTGGTAAACAAGTTCTTCCTCTTTACGTTTTTACTCGAAGGATATTACCGCAATTGGTGGCTGATCATCTGACGCCACTAGTCCTTCCTAATAAATGAAATTATACCTATTATTCAGCGGAGGCTTTCTGAAGAAATTACTTTATCGCCCTTTAAATATGGCAGTGTTTATTTTAGTGTTTGTGACAGGGCAGATTCTTGAAAACTGTAGAGAACTAATTCTGGACAGTTATATTATCATCTCAAAGCTGTTTAGCAATTATTGAATGATGTGGAATGATAGCGTCACTTATTATTGCGCATAAACAGATGGGACAGAAAGCGTTCTGAATTGATTAGATTGTCCACTTCCCTTGTGACGTATTTTCCCTTGTGAAATTTAAAACTGCATTCAACAATATATCTGAGGACCAGAAAATATTGGCTGATGGGTAATTTAGTCTGCAACATTTGGTCAAGTTCAATTTGCTGATTCTATCGGGAATAGTCAATATGACTGTTCATTTTATGATGTCAAAAGTTACCAGTGGATACTCACTCTTCTTGGCTAATGAGAAACAAAGCCTTATGCTTTTAAAGATTAACTCTAAACAGGAAAAATATCAATGAATAATGTTCACAAAGAAAAGACTACGGACGAACTATTTACGCTACACAATAATAAAAAAGTAGATTGTTTTAATATC